CCCCCCCCCCCCCCCCCCCGTATCTTGAGGGACTTGTCTTGCCAAGACTGGCCACAGAGTGTGTAAAATTTCCCTACCCCTCCTTCCTGCCTGATCCCTGGGATGACTCTAGGCTTGCAAATTGTATGAGAAAAAAGGGACGTACAAGGCACAGGGGAATGACAAAGTTTGGGCTTTTACAGGGACATATTAGCACAAGGCTCGAGGATGGAGAAACCTCAGTTCAAATGCCACCTGTGCCATTCATCAGCTAGGTGGCCCTCCTGGATCTATGGCTATCACAGCCTCAGCTGCTTCACCCATCAAATGGAAATGGCAGGGCTGGCAGTGCATGAGCACTTGCTGAGAACCTAGCAACTGCCAGGCCCTGGGATGGGTGTGCTGCATTTTGGATATTTTGTCAAAAAAAAAAAATAAATGCCTACAGTTTGGCCCATTACCTTGGATCCTCACTGGTCAATATTTTGTTCAGATTATTCCCTGAACTGCCCTCCCGTACTGCCCTCTGGTGTAGGCAAAACTGAGCCAGCAACCCTGTGGAGATGGCAGCCCCCCTTACCTCATATCACCTTTTCGTGATGTGTCCCTGCCCCACACTCTATGAACTTATATAGTTCCTAAAGCTTGCACAGCAAGGCAGAACATATTTTCCCCCCAGCTGGATTACACAGACTCATTAGCAGTGTTCCCAATCTCCAAACAAGGCGCACATAGACAAAGGTGAACAGACAAGGCGAGCAGCAGCCTGATGCAAGGGGTGCGCTTAGTTCTCCTTTGGGGACACCCAGTAATCTTCTTGGTCTCCCTCAACATCATTCACAATGTTTTCCTGCATTGGCTTTGCCAGGAGCCCAAAGCCCAAAGGGATCAATCTCTGGGAGCCCTGCAATCTGTGCTTGGCAGGTTTTGCAGTTCCCCATGGTGCTCAGCACAGTGCAGGGCAGACACCAGAGGACCCCATATGTCCGATTTACTGACTTGAAACAACTGAAAGTGATCCAATCCATACCTCGGGTAGTTAGTGCAATACTGCGTGTAAATGTGGAACTCTTCACTCTGCAAGGAAACAAAAGAAAACTTTATAGGCAAAAAAGCACAGATATCAACTTGCAATTAAAAATAATAAAAGCAGAATCATTCAGGCCTTTAAACTTATTTCTCCAATCACATTGGCCCATCTCCTGAGCCCTGCAGCAACTGTGTCCACATGCACTTGAACTCATTTAAGTCCAGTAAAGATTAAGCACTTGCTGTGTTCCAGTGACTCTAAAGGCAAATAGGAAGAAGATGAAAATAAAGGTTCTTTCCCAAGATGTTCATGATCCTTTTGTGGATATGCAGTATGGGAAGGAACTATAAGGAAGTAACTTAAATATTTTGCAGCAAGAACATGTTGGAAATATGTGCAAGGCATGTGAAAGCTATGGCATGCTGTCAAGGACTTGCAGATACCTTCTCTCTGCCCGCCATTGTTGGAATCCTCTTCCTGCAGAGCCATTGTGCCTCCTTTGGGACTGAATTTTGGCTGTTTCTTCCATGCAACCTTCCTTCAGCTCTTCGGCTGGCCTAAATACTCCTACTTTGGGATTCTACCACACCCTACTGACCTCTCTGGAAGCACTGACCAAGTGATAGTGACATCTGCTCATGTGTCTCTCTCCATACCAAGCTGGGAATTCCTTCCAGGTAGGGGCCACATTGTGTTTATATGGCATATTATGTTTGTTGAACTACTGAATCCCCATCTTTCCTACTAAACTAAAAGTTATTTGTGAGCAGGACTCAAGTCTACTCATCTGCACACATCTAGCTTGGCCTGAAATGCAGTAAACGTGTGGCTAGCAGATATGAGGTTCCTGCCTTCTGCTGTGAACATATTCCCAGTTCCCTAAAATCTTTTTATTTCCATGGCTTCTGAGTTGTTCAGATGGCTGGCCACATGATCTGATATTGGGAAATAGTAACTAATACTTGCTCATTAAAGTATTCTTTTTTTTGTACTGGGGATCGAACTCAGATCCTTGTGCTTGTGAGGCAGGTGGAGGAATCACTGAGCTAAATCCCTGGCCCTCATTAAAGTATTCTTTAAAAGGGTGGAATCACGATTTTCATACAAATGTTAAATGAACACTGTCAAATATTTTATTTAACCTATTGATGAGGAAACCAGAAAGATGTTACAACTGGATCAAAAGGGAAATAAAAGTATCACACTTAGGTCAATGAGAAACTGAAATAAAATTACAAATGGATACAAAAATGGCTTTTTCTATGGGGATGGGTGGGTAAAGAAATTGTCATTCTGTGGAGTAGAATATATTTGCATAGCTGTGTTGAAGAATCATATGCATTGCTGTCAATTACCTGACACAGACAGAATTGTAAAAGTTCAGAGATGATGAAACATGAAGAAACCCCACTGAATAGTGTGATTTGGAAGAACAAACTGGAAGAGTTTCTATTGGAGTCATGCAGTAATCCTTTCGATGGTTCCCTACATGGCCAAGGGAAAGAGGTACATAAATGTGTAAGTGATGTGCAAAAGCTGAGAGAGTCCAAGGGACTATGCTTGGCCTGCCCAGTAATGAACTTTTATTTTTGTCGCTCAATTGCTAGTTCTTTATTTTTCCATGAGCAGTAAGTAAGAAGTAACTGTATTTTTGTTTTGTTTTGGTACTGGGGATCAAACTCAGAGACACTTTACCACTGAGCTACAACCTTGCACTTTTAATTTTGAAATCAGGTCTCCATAAGCTGACCAAACTGGTCTTGAACTTGTGATCCATCTGCTTCACCTTCCCATGCCTGGGATTACAAGCATGTGCCACCATGCTTGGCTTTTTGTTGTTGTTTTGTTTAGCAGGGCTGGGGAGTGAACTCAGGGCTTTGCATATGTGAGGCGAGCATACTACTAGGAGCTGTTCCCCAGCTCTGTATTCTCCTTTTGTCGGTAAGAATTTCTTTAACATACACATACCACAAAAGTCAGCCAGGTCAAAGATGAATTTCTGTGTTAGCCCCAGTGACTCAGATAAAGGCTTTTAGAAGTCAACTGCCAGCTTTGCCTCTTTTGTTAATGACCTCTCAATTAAAGCAATTTTACATTCTTCCCTGAACAGAGCAGCTGGTGGTGTTTCAGAAAACGTAACCTCTTCTAAATTTCAGGGTGCTGAGTGAAAAGCAGGTTATGCCAGAACCAAGTGCTCCCTCACGATTCCTTGTCTCACTGTGAATGTGTGGAGTACTGAAGTTGGTCTTCTAATTAAACTTGGCAAAATTACAATGAAAAATAAAATTTGGGAGCTGGCGATGAGGCACATAAACAAACTTTTATGTGAATAATTAAGTCAGAGCTAAGCGTATGCTGGAACATCTTTAATCAGCTCATGATTACAGTTACCAGTAAAAGCCAAACATTTCCGAAAGCTTCTATGTTGTTTATGTGTTGTGGTTATTTTAACATATCTTCTTTGATATACTTGGCCTATCCAACCATTTTTCCCTTATTTCTTTCTCTTTTTCAAATTCTCTTTAGGAGAATCAATTATGACACAGGCCACTTGTGAAAAGAATTTGTGTGCCTAAACTGGTGTGCCAAACACTTTACATGTGAACACACACACACACACACACACACGCAGAGAAAGTCAGGAGAGTTTACAGACAAACCCTTGATTGCTTTTAGGGAACTTCACTTCAATAAAACCCAGGGTGTTATGTTTGGGTTCAGACTCACCCGGAGGGTTCTGAAGCCATCAGAAATGACCCCATGGAACAAGTCTGGGGCCAGGTTGGGCTGGAACAACATTCTAAATTTGCACTGGAATGCAGAGCTCTAAATGAGGTGCTAATTCATGGTTGGTCCCAAAGCACCATCGTGAACTTTGCTTAAACCTTCGTCCATTTCAAACCTTTATACAACTGCAGAAACCACATGAAGTTTGACTGCAAAACAGTTTCTGCCAGAGGTTTTCCAAACACAAATTGAATTTTTCAAAGAAATTTAAAACGGGATTCTATCTGTATCAGGTAGCATACTGAGAAAATAATATAGTCAAGGACTGTATGTTGCAGTATCTCCTTTCAAATTCAGAGCATGAACTTACTGCCATTAAGCAGTAAAAGTCAAATTCATTTCTTGTATTTTTCTAACCAATGAGAGCAGTTTAAGGAAAATGTCGGAAAAGTAGAGTACATTTTTAAGATACAGGAAATCAATGCAGCATCTCTTTATCCTTCAGAAGATAATTATAGAGAACAGGCTAGTACCATGTACATTATATGTGAAGTAGTTAGATTCTAAGGGATTTTTATAACTGGTTTAGTGGCATGTTATATGTATTTATTTTTCTAACCGTCTTCTTCAAGTTCTTCCTAGGAAAGGGTGACACTGTCTAGTTATTGTACAAGTTCTAGGACAACTACTAAGTTAGCACCTTTCTCTTCCAAGAAAGAATGTAGTTTTTCTTTGCTACCAAAAACAACAATAACAACAAAAATTCAGAGCATTTATTATCTGACTTCGACATGGAACAAACCATTCATTCCAACTTTAAAATGAAAACAATCCATACATACTATCTATTTGCCTTGAATGGCCCCTCAGAAATGAACCCTGCTTACCTTGGACACAAAACATTCTGCTATGGCCACTGGATCATTTTCACAGTTTTCCAAATCTTGTAGCAATTCACTGAACAAAAAAAGGCCAGGAACAGGAAGTATTAGATTGCAGTCTCATGGTTGAAGACATTTTAATTTAAAAACTTAAATGTTTCTAATGGCATTTATAAGGAATCATATGATTGGACAACTGAGGATCTCACTGTATCCAAGGCTTAGATAAGGAACTTGCTCGGGGTCATGGTGGAGGCAGGATTTAACCAAGAGTTGGACCAGTAACTCTCCTACCAGAGATAAGAAGAGCCTAATAATGAAGTTTTTGCATGTTTGTCATCGACTACCCACACTCATTCATCAAACATCTGCTGAGGTACCTGGTGCAGTTTAAGACACTAAGAACAAATCAGAGAGCAAAATGAGACTATGGTTCCTGGTCTCATGAAGGGACCTTATGTATAGGAAAGGGCAGACAGTTAATGCCAAATCACACTAACCATACAAAATTCTAAACAGACAGTGACTGTGCTTTAAAGGAAATAAGTATTTGCTAGGAGAGGAAATCTTTTTTCTCAAGTGTAAATTTACACTACTTTTTAATAGCAGTACCATTATTTTAAGTAACTGCATAATATCTCATTGTGTGGCTAATACCATAATTCATTCAATTAATCTTCTGAGTAAAATTCTGTAAGTGGAATTGCTAGGCCAAAGACTATTCTCAGTGTCAATGCTAGCACATTTTCAAATTGCACTCCATATATACTGTATTAATACATATCTTAACATGTTAAGCATTCATTTTAGTGTGCAATATATTACATCATTAATTAAAAAGTTAAACAGTTCTACAGGATTTATGATAGAAATCTCGCTTTGTGGTCCTCAATCTCTATGGCCACTGCTGAGAACCATTTTTAACCCTTAGGCATTCCTGCTTAAGCAGGTCCCTATTTCTAAGCACATAACTGATGTATTTTCAGTTTCAGCTATTGTTTATTTCTTAATTCCCCCAAACTTTCCTTCCTACCATTTCTTCCAACTACTCTGCAATTTGATTGGTTAAATGTCTGAACTTACATTTTTTTTTTTTTGGTACTGGGGAATCAAACTCAGAACCTTGCGCTTGTGAGGCAGGCGCAGTGCCCCTGAGTTAAATCCCTGGCTCGGCTCTGAACTTACATCTTTAAGACCACAGAAATATTATTCTTGGTATAGTTGTGTGTATAGCATGATTTCCTTTCTTGTGAAACTAAGTTTTTCCTTAAGACTGTCTCTCACTTGTACCCCTCCATTTTTCTTTGTTTTCAAAGTACACACCACTAATTTATCCTCAAGTGGTGTGCCAGAAGTATAAATCTCACCTCACTGAGTCTAAACATCAGGTAGCCACTGGTTGCCTGTCTTTCCTGGTGGCCTCCCTCCCAGGCCTGTGTGCTGCTCCATCCTGCCAGGTTCAACTCCAGGCTGCTGGGCCTGCTCTGGAGCCCCCTCCTGATGATGGCCTTGGCTTTGCTCTTGGGTTGGACACCCTGCTGCTTAGGTCTCATTTCCTACTGGTTTCCTCCTTTGGGAGATTACAACATCCAGTAGCTTTCTGAGCAAGAGTAATGGGAGCTAAGTTTTCTGAGATTCTTCGCCTTTTAAAGTGTTTTCCTTTCATAGTGGCTGGTGAGGTCAGTGGCTATAGAATTCTTGGTTGAAGTCATGTTCAGAGAGCTGTCATCTCATAAATTCCAGTGCTGCTACTGAGAGTCCAGTGTCACTGTGATCCCTGTTCCAAGTTATTTGTGACTTTTTTTTTTTAAATTCTGGAAGCTTTTAGGATTCTGTCTTTGCTAACGTAATTGTGAAACTCTGTAATGGTAGGCTTTGAGGTGAGTGTCCATGCACTGGGCCAGTGTGACAATCTGGAAACTGATCCTGAGCTCCAAGTGGGGTCTGGTGACCCCTCCTTTAGGAGGCCTGTGGGCACCATTCCACAAAAACACTGAGGCACCAGTGGATTTTCTCCTTCCACTGTATTGTGAGAGTGCAGTGAACTTTTCCAGAGGCTACATGATGTTTGACAACATGACCGATGGAAAGTAGGAGCAGAGAGAATTTTGCTGTCTCTTAGTGAGTCAGACAGTAAAGAGATCTGTAAAAATGCAAAACAATTCCAAAACAAGCAAAAATGTAGTGGAAAAAGCAGTAAAACTATTTTTCTTAAAACTATGTGGGTTTATCATTATTATTACATAAATTGATATTTTAATGGTTTCTCAGTTTCTAACATGGTAAACAAAACATAATAAAATAGAAATAAAAAAGCTTTTGGGGGTCTTTAATCATTTTTAAGCATGTAAGAGATCATGGGACACAAAGGTTAAGCCTTTTTGTTCCTGAATTGTATTTTTGATGCTTTCCCCCTACATTGTTGAAGACCCTATTCCATTCTGGATCTTCTAGCATGATCTTCTAATTTTCCTTATTTTTTCTCTTGTATTTTCCATCTTCTTGTTTACTATACTGTCTTAGAGGAAGAGCTCTTAACTTACTTCATATCCTTTTCGTTGAATTTTAAAATTTCTACTGTCAGGTTTTTAACCTTGAAATTCTTTTTCAAAAAAGGCTCTTTGGATATATTTTACATTTTGGCTTTTATTTCACAGGAACAAAATATTCTTTTGTCTCTATGTATTTGATGATGATTTTGTACTTTTTTTGTTCTTTGTTTTCAACTCAGCTCCCTCTCTCTGTTTGATCAATTCAGTTTCTGTTGTTCCTCTTAGCGGTTCTCCTCAAATATTTGGGTACCTTGACTTGTCCCCTCATATTTGAAGGTGAGACACTGCAAAGCTAACCATAAACTCTGTGCAGATAGAGTCCATCACAGCAATACTCACTCCCAAGCAGCGGTTTTCAAACTTTTTAGTGTCAGGATCTATCTACAATCTTAAACATTCTTTATGTAGATTACAACTAGTTATTTTTACTGAAATAGAAATTAAAGCTGAATAATTAAATTTATCAGTTCATTTAGTAACACATCTAATACATATGAATCTAAATACCTTTTTGTGAAAAACAGTTTTTATAAAATGAAAAATCTTCAGTGAGAAGAGGAGGAGTATTTTACATTCTTACAGATCTCTACAGTCTAACTTCATAGAACATGTCTGGATTCTCCTATCAACTTTGGCATCCAATCTGTTGCAGTTTGTCACTTGGGGTGAAGTCTATAAAAAGGAATTCAGCCTCACACAGACATACCATTAGAAAAGGGAGTAGTATTTTATTCTCTTTCCAACAATGGTGAATATTCTTGGGTATTCTGCGGAAGACTCAGCAAGTGGTAGTCGTCTCTTAAAGGTCTGTTGGATTCTGAAGCCACCACAAGGGAGTGTATTGCTGCTTTCAAGTCAACTGCTCTCTCTTGTACATGCGGATTTTTTTTTTTTTTGGTACCGGGGATTGAACTCCGGACCTTGTGCTTGAGAGGCAGGTGGCAGAACCACTGAGCTAAATCCCTGGCCCTGTGCCTTAAGTTTTATGCTCATCATGCCCTCTCCAAGCATTAATTTCACCCTCCAAGTGGACTTGCTGGGAGAAAGAAGCATCTCTGGCTGCCCAGGCTCCAAGTGTACCTACCTCCTTTGTAAGTGAACGACACATTCATCATTCAGGAGCCACAGAGCCACGAGGGGACTCAGACAACAACCAGTCCCAAACCTTAACTTCAAGGTGAGAAAACCATGCTGCTTAAAGAGGAAGTAGCTTATTTTAGGTCACACAGCCATAATTAATGGCATAGCTGTGGGCAGAATCAGGCTCCTTAATAAAACCCAGGGTTTATCCTATGTTAGGAAAGGGGTGGTAAAGGAAGGCTGGCCAGGTAATGCTAAAAGCCTCCTAGGAACCACATGGAAGACACTAGTATACAGAATCTGGTCTTTGGCTTTTTCGAGTTGATCAGGTAACACAGCCTTCAATAGATGTGTTTCTAATAGAGTGCAGGGTTGATTCAGGACCCTTATTCTGCCCACAGCTTAGTTATACTGAATAAAAAGAATGAGCTGAAAGAAAAGGAAAGTTTCACTCTGATCTTTGGAGGAAGGGAGAGGACTTGATGATTTTAATCTGCTAAGAAACAATTTAAAACAAAAATTCATTTTGGAGGAATGGTGTTTATTTCCTCACTCTTCATTCTTAAAGGTTACGGTTTAGATAACTTTTCTCTATTACAAGAGAGGGATGTTATAAAGAAAAAGTTGGCATTTTTTTTTTGGTTAGCAGTAAAAAAAAGTTTTGGGATTTTAGGGGGCTGGTTCCAATGAGGAAAGTAGCTTCTTTGATTAATTCAGTTTTCTAACCACTTGGGGATTTATTCCAGACACCAAACCAGAAGCTTAAATTTCTAGGCTAGCACAGGGATTACAAAAGAGAGAGAGATTTGGCTACCAAAAAGAAAACAAAAATGAAGTCTCAAGTATATTCTAAAATATTTCATGATGGAAGATTTTGTAAAATAACAATTTAAATTTCATTATATACCAAACTGAACAAGCACAGTAAAAGAAATTAGATGCTGCTTTCATTTACAAACATTCATGAAAAAATTCTTTACAAAGATACAAATAAATCAAGTGCATACATATATAAAATATCACAACAGTTAGAACTTATTCCAGCCATGTTATATATGATTCAGATCAGAGTGCCTATAATTTATAATACCAGGAATTGAAGAAGTAAAATCATATGTCAACTTTACTAAAGTTATAGCAGCACAACTCATAATAGTTAAATCTTGGAACCGATCTATATGGCTGTCAACAGATGAATAGATAAAGAAAATGTGGTATATATACATGATGGAGACTACTCAGCCATAAAACATAAATTTGAGTCATTGGTAGGAAAATTGATGCACCTTAATGCTAAGTAAAATAAATCAGACACAGAAGGTTTAATATCTTATGGGTTCTCTTATATGAGGAACCCAAAGTATAAATAAGTTAAAAGGAAAAATAAAATATAGATGATAGGAAACAGAGAGAGAGACTTTGTGGAAATGGGAAGGGGATCTGA